GGGGGCCTTTCCTGGGCCTGGAAAGGCACGGGGGGGTGGGTGGACTGCAACTTACCTTCCTTCTTTTTTCTCCTCGGACCGACTAAGGGGAGGACTGCTGGGAGCAGGGGGTGGGGATTGCTACATGTCCCTGCCCCCTGCCCTCCTCACAGCCGGAGTTTTGCTCCGGCAGCAAATGAGGCCTGACAGCAACAAATATGTAATAGCCCATGAATGAGCACAGGTTTCTGCAAACAAAGAAAAGACCATGAGGAAAGGATGTTAGTGGTGGGGAATTACAAAGATACTCTAGGGTTGTCAGGGCCCCTCTGTCCAGTAGTGGGAGATGGGGGCTAGGTTTGCCAGATACAGTCCTGGCAATTTCTGGAGATTTGGGGGTGGAGCCTGGGGAAGATAGGGACTTCAGTGGAGTTAATGCACATGGTCCACCCTCCAAAGCATCCATTTTCTCCAAGGGAACTGACCTCTTTAGTCTGGAGATGAGATTTAATTCTGGGGGATCCCCAGGTCCCACCTGGAGGCTAGCATCCCTAGATGCAACAGCACAGTGGTAAGCAGTGGGGTACCGCAGGGATCAGTACTTGGTCCACTGCTTTTTAACTTGTTCATTAATGATTTGGAGATGGGAGTAAGCAGTGATGTGGCTAAATTTGCGGATGATACAAAGTTGTTCAGGGTGGTGAAAACCAGTGAGGATTGTGAGGCACTCCAAAGGGATCTGTCAAGGATGGGCGAGTGGGCGTCAACATGGCAAATGGGGTTCAATGTGGCCAAGTGCAAGGTGATGCACATTGGAGCCAAAAATCCTAAATATAAATACACATTGATGAGGTCTGAACTGGCAGAGACTGATCAAGAGAGAGATCTTGGAGTTGTAGTGGATAACTCACTGAAAATGTCGAGACAGTGTGTGACTGCAATAAAGAAGGCCAATGCTATGCTGGGGATTATTAGGAAGGGTATGGAAAACAGATCAGCCAATATCATAATGCCCCTATATAAATCAATGGTGAGACCTCATTTGGAATACTGTGTGCAGTTCTGGTCACCACACCTTAAAAAGGATATTATAGCTTTGGAAAAAGTGCAGAAAAGGGCAACTCGAATGATAAAAGGGTTGGAACACTTTCCCTATGAGGAAAGGTTAAAGCGCTTAGGGCTCTTTAGCTTGGAGAAAAGACGACTGAGGGGTGACATGATCGAGGTTTATAAGATTATGCATGGGAAAGAGCAGCTAGAGAAAGAGGTACTTTTCTCCCTTTCTCACAATCCAAGAACTCGTGGGCACTCCATGAAACTGCAGAGCGGTCGGGTTAGAACGGATAAAAGGAAGTACTTCTTCACCCAAAGAGCGATTAACACATGGAATTCACCGCCACAGGAAGTGGTGGCGGCTACAAGCATGGACGGCTTCAAGAGGGAATTAGATAAGCATATGGAGCAGAGGTCCATCAGTGGATATTAGCCACAAGGTATAGATAGGGGGTCTGGGGCAAGTGATGCTCTGTCTTCTTGGTGCTTGGGGGGGGGTGAACAGTGGGAGGGCTTCTAATGTCCTGGCCTCACTGCTGGACCTCCTGATGGCACTGGTTTTTCTGGCCACTGTGTGACACAGAGTGTTGGACTGGATGGGCCTTTGGCCTGATCCAACATTGGCGTCTCTTATGTTCACAGGTGGGAGAAGGAGTGAAAGAAACAGGAAGGCACCAGATCATCCCCTGTCTCTCCAATGCAGTACAGTGATTCTCACATACTTTATTTCCTTTCTTTGGCAGAGTTCCTGGAGTTCATGAAAGGTGTTGAGTAAACCTCAGCTATGGATGGGAACAACCTCCTCTTTTGGACATCTCCAGTTTTCTCTTACACCATTTCATCAGTTTTGTTTCCCTTGCTGATTTCATGAAGGCATGTAGCAAACTTGGTGGACTGAACATTGATGAAAACATGAGCCATTTCACCTTAAGTGCCTCAAATCGTCACTCTGGGGATATTTATTGAGTCAGATTATTGTAATCCCTTTATTTTTGGTCTCAATGATGATAATGGGTTACACTAGTCCTCATGAAAAATATGCTATGTCGCAACAGCTAAGGCTTGAACAACAATTGAGATTCTTTAACAGTGGAATATGCCATCTCTTCCCTCTTGTACATCATCTCCAGCTGTTTTCATGTGATATGTAAAAATACTAAGTGTACAAAAATAAAATAAATTCTTTTTGAAATGCTAATAAAATAATTTAAAGACTAGAATGGCTGTTTGGCTCAAGGAATCCCGACTTAGTGGCTGCAAAGCACAGCTATCAAAAGAAGCTCAGTTCCTGTTGGAGTTTATATTGCATTTGGGATGGTATACCATGGCATGGTATACCAACTAAAAGTTTGTCTTATTTTAAAATGGGCAAACTGACCATCTTCCGCACTGTCTAGTACACCCATTAAGATCTCAAGCCCTGCTCTCTGAATCTCTGTGGGCAGAGGGAATGTGTGCAATGACTAGAGTCAGGGCATTCTCATTGGTCAGTCCTTGTCTTTGGAATGCTCTCCTCCTCTAAGCTCACTAGGCATCTGTGACGGACTCCAGGCTTGGGATCAGCCTGCAAGAAAAGACACCTGCAGTCACGTGACTAACAGTGGTTTTGTAATCCTGATGCAGAACTCAGGGGAAGTTCTAATGGGGAAAAAAACCTCTTGACAGTTGGAGTTTGGCAGTTGAGACAGGCAGTTGGCTTTGGGAGTTGGTACTGTGCCAGGGGACTGGGTAGTCTTGTTGAACATCCCTGAGTCCGAGGAGCAAAGGAGCCTTCTCTACAGATTCCAATATTAAGTGAACCTGAGAAGAGCCAAACGTAGTTCTATACTACAGTGAAAACGAAGGAGTCTTAAATGGAAAATAAGCTCCTTGGGGTTAAACAAGAGAAACACATACTTCTCACATAGGATCTATACCCTGCTGGAGAGAGAGTCAGGTTTAGTGGATGTAGTGTGTGCCAGGAGGGTTTAGTGGACTAGTGGGTGTCCAGAAACCAAGGCACAGCAAATGTATTTCTCTGTGGAAGTGGAGAGTACCTGAGAAATCCACACTGAAACTGACAATCTAGAACAGCACTGTGGTTGAGATTGGAGAAAGCGTATTTTGTACTGTAGCATCTGAAGTGAGTGATTATAAGTGAACTGACCTAAGGCTGAACTATACTATTTGAACCAACATATACACACGCATCAACTTTCTCCTAGTATATATATTCCCTGCCTGCCTGCCCTTGTAAATAAAATCTTCAGTTTGTTTTATTGTTCCCAGTCAGAAAAAGGGCGGTGTTCATGAAAAGCCACAGAGATTAGTATTTATAAAAAGGTCTCATCAATAAGTGGCTGAGTGTGTGACAGAAGGACGAACTGGGTGGGTTCCTGGTCAAACAATGACAGTGTCAGTGAAAAATAAGACCGCTCCAACTTGTAAAAGAGTGAAGGAACAAATCACCACATACCCAGTAATGGGGTTCGTCACAGCATCTTTTTTACTGTCTTTTAGGCACCAGGTCAAAACATTTCTCTTATTAACTGAAAGGTTCTTTCTAATTATTGCTTTTATGGCCTGCATCTAGCATGAGAGTATTTATGAATAGTATTTTAGGCTGATGAATATTGTTGTTCATGCTGTTTTTATTTTCCTAGAGGGTTTTTGCTTGTTTTATTGCTGATAAAAATCAATCATTTTTATACTGGTTATTTTAATGAATTTATTGTTGTACTGTGTTTACACTTTGGGTTGGGGAGATAGCATAGAAATCTTTAAAAAAAAACCCAAACCCTAAATACAAGCAGTATTGCTCCTGTTGTCTTCTGGATAAGTCACTTATTTGTCAGCTCTACAAAGAAAATCCTGAATGAATGATCCATTAACTACTTGGACACAATCAGCAGAAGGACATATAAATTGGGTCTTGGGGTGCTAATAGTTCTCAGTGTGTTGCTAAGTCTCTGATTTAAACAGTGTCACTGTACTAACAATCAGGAACAGGTATCTCAGGGCTCTTCTAAATTGTGCTGTGGTGAACTTGTCAGTTTTGGACATCATCAGCATTGTCATTGGACTCTGTCCTACCACAGAGGCAAGGAAAACAGCTTCTGTGGACTTGCTTTTAGCTGTATGTCCACAATACCACCTGTCGTACAAGCAACCCTGTGGAATGGTTGTTCAAAGGTATAGGGTGTAGGCTCCTCTTGTAATAGCAAATCTTGACAAAGCCTAGACTAATTATAGAGGAAAGCTTGACTTTAAAAAAACTGGAAGGATGTTGTATTGAACTCAATCAGTCCTATTTCAGAATACATATTTTGGATTTGAATTTCTATTCCATCTAAGGTGGTCTAATGGTATCCCCCCCTTTTGGAAAACACTGGTGATTTCTTACAGGCACAGAAGCTATGTTGTGCCCACACAGATCCTCTGCCTTCAAGTGCTCTCCATGTTCAGTATGTGCAAAGGGTGGTGTGTGTGGAGTTGAAGCTTCCCTTGAAGCACACGGAGAAGCCTCCTTGCCAAAAAGTCCTCTTGGTCAGAGGCAACATGTTTAGGATCACGTCTGACTTGAGCTACCCAAGCAAAAGTTCATCACTTTCCACATGATGTTTCACTTAAGAAAGAAGGGGGGAAATGGGGGGGGGGGAGACCATGCAGCGCTGGAGGCTGCACATGCTTAGCCGGGTTCTAGAAACAACTGCCTGACCTTAATTAAAATGTTCAAGCTAGGTATGTCCTCTACGCTATTATGACTCGCAGTTATTTATAGGCATATTATTTCAGGGCATGCTGGGAATCCTTGGGGCAGCCACTGTCTGGCAGCTGTCACATCCTCCTGTCCATCTATTGTTGCTTCCAGAGTCCCACCCCCTTTGGCTTCTTTACATCCACCGATCCCTGTCCTGCTTTTAGTCAAAGCATTTGAGAGAGGTGAGGAAGGTTCAGTGGATTAGAACTGCCACAAAAGGCAAGTGATGAGCAAGCTATTTAGAGAACCCACTGTCTTGGAAGACAAATAATAAAATTATTTTTCAGAAACAGAGAAGAAAATATACTGTTTCTAGATAGGTCTGTGTAATTCTTTATGTTGCCTTTCTTTGTTCCTTGGGAAAATATGGGATTGGTCTAAGGTGGGGGCTGCGAAGTTAGAGGATAAAAAGGACGAATGGGTAAGCCATGCTGATTCTCTCCCCTCCCACCTTTTGCTCTCACCTTGGGATCCCACCTCTCACATAGGGATGCCAGCCTCCAGGTGGGACCTGGGGACCCCCTGGAATTACAGCTCATCTCCAGACTATAGAGAACAGTTCCCTAGGAGAAAATGGGTGCTTCGGAGGATGGACTGTATGGCATTGTACCCCACTAAGGACCCTGTCCTCCCCAGGCCCCATCCCCAAATATCCAGGAGTTTCCCAGCCTGGATCTGGCAACCCTCCCCTTCCCATCCCCTGCAGGTGACAGAGACTGTCCTATTTATGTAGAACATTTCTATGCCATCTTTCCATCCAACTTAGGGTCCCCAAGACAACAAAAAACTGAAACCATTAAAACAGCTTTTAAAATATTCATATTATAAAAACAAATAAATGACAATTCCAACACATAAACATAGGTTCCCCACATGATTGGGACCCCATGTATGTACACAGCTCACTTCAGGCACTTTGTTGAAGGCACAGATGGTAGAAGCGAAGTGAGTGGTGTGAGCCCACTCTCCTGTCATAGTGGTGAGTCTTCTCAGCTGGATGCCTTCTGCAGCCTTTGCTCTGATGGACTAGATGATCCTGGAGGTCCCTTCTAACGCTATGATTCTATGACCAAAGAGCAAAGCCAGAAGTCATCATGGACACCCATATCCAGACCAGGCCCATATACATGGCCAAAACAGGCAGCAACAGTCCATTGGCTTATACATGTCTGAACAAGTAGGTAAATCCTTCACAGGCTTCCTTTCTATGTTACACCCCTCAGTAATGCACTTGCAGCATGGAGGCCTTGCCACTTATCCAGGAAGAAATGCAGCCTAGATGTACTCACATTAATGGCTAGGTGTCCTAGGCGTCAAGTTATAAATGAGATTCTTTTCATTTACCACCTCAGCCCAGTAAAATGCTACAATGCCTGACTGTGGAAGAGAAAGCTCTTACCACGCAGCTTTGTACAAAACTTTGAAGTTTTAAGTTTGAAACAAATGAATCAGAAAAGTATGAATTCCTAGCAGGCTTCTGATCAATCAGCACTTGAAAACTGGAGAAGAGTCTTTTCCACAGTTGGGTTAGTGTTGCTCTAAGCTAAACATTTAGTAACATTCCTGGACTTTGGGCTGGCTTTATAGATGTTTACACTAGCCCTCTTCAGGCGCTCCCAGCATGTACAGAGAAGGGAACAGGTTCATGTCCTCCTGCCCTGCCCATATCATTCATGTATTTGGCTCAGTATGTGCAATGAGCCCCTGCATGTGTATCTACATCTATATATGTACATTCGTACATACATGGTTTCTCTCACATGACTGGAACCTATACTTTGGCATTAAATCAAGCTATATGCTTGTAAGCACCTCACAAAAGATTAAAGAAGGAACAAGATCACCATCTAGTCATCTTTCAATCTGCCCCCAATGGTGTATCTGTTAAAAAAAGGACATCCCCACAAGGTAATGACTGCTGTCTCTGATATTGTAAATATTTATATTATACACTATGTAAGATATTGGAAATAAAAATCTAAGGCTTTTTCAGACGTTACATCTTCATGCTTGGGGAGCATATTGACTATGCATATCAGGAGCATGACTTGTAATTCTCCTGAGCTTACAGAGCTCTTCTTACTGGGGCTACTGTAAGCTCTTGGAGGATTGGCTACACTAGGGGTGTGTGGCCTAATATGCAAAGGAGCTCCTGCTACCAGTAGAGCCCTGCATGTGACCATCATGTTGTCTGAATGTGGGGAAGAAGGAGTGTGTGCATTTTATGCCAAATCAGAACCAGGGAACATCCAGTGGTTGGTTCATTCAGGAAGGATACTCCCTGAAATGAGTCTTAGAGCCTGCTGTTGCCAAACATGAAGATTCTGTCTCTCAGTAGCCCATTTGGCACTGCTCATTCTCTTGATAGTCTCTGCCCCCCCCCAAACGCTCATTCTCTTGATAGTCTCTGCCCCCCCAAAAAAACCCTCCCTATCTCAGCTGGCATATGCAGATAACACCTGAATGAGGGGTGGAGCTTGGCATAAAGACAACGACCGACCGAGAACAAAAGGGCCTAGGGATGGCTGATGCACATTTGATGAACAGGAAATGGTTGCAATTAAGTGCTTAATTACTCCACATTTAGCTAGTAGTATGCTGAATGACTGGCTGCACTAAACCACTGGCTGTATGCCCAGTGCAGAATGAAGAGAAATATAGATGTGTTTACACATATGAAAAGTAGCACAGCAATAACTTTTTGTGACTCCACAGCCCATCCGCCAGAGTGACAAACATGGCACCTTTGCCCCCAAGAATTTTAGGATGCTGTTCTCATGCCAAGTCCATTCTTTGAGGCAGCAGAGTCCAAATGGCAAGTGGGCGGAAACAAACCTGATACCTTCCTGCTGCCAAGGTTCCCAAGCCTCTGCACACAATGAAGCGCTGGCTTTTGGAGAGCATTATTCCGTGCTCCATTGTGTCACATGCAGCTATTTTGGGCTGGAAGCAGAGGAGACCATATTTGGGAAACTCTGGTGTGGCAGGACAGTGTTGAAGGTCAGTGGTGACAAAACGCTTCCAAGACAAGTGGAAAAGGACCAAACACTTTTTGGTCCTGAGTTGACATTGCAAAACTAATTATTTTCTTACTAGTTATACACTTTTAGGAATAGCTAGGTCATCATGAGTGGTCCTGAGTTGACATTGCAAAACTAATTCTCTTTTTTCTTAGGAATAGCTAGGTCATCATGACTATACCTAGCACAAGATTGTTCTGATTTAACTGACAACCGTATTGTGGAAAATGTTCAGAAAAGTTGCTGAAAGGAGATAAAAGGATCAAACCCCTGTGCATACCTAACTCAATGTTATCCCTGGATTCTATGCTAGGATTCCATTCAACCTAATTCAACCCCTTTCCTGTATCTTTTTAATCGTAACATTTACTAGAGATATGGATAAGAATTTGTTTTGCTTCTGAGACTTGATTCAGATTCTTTATGGTAATTTTTAATGCTATAAATTTAGTTACATTTCCTTTTTGTTGCCTTTGGTTTCAGTGGTGGAGGCATTTGTACCTGTAATTTTTTTTTCTCCCAACCAATTTGAGTAACATAAACAGGGATTGTACTCCTGGTCCAAGGTACCCTACCTGTCAGCTTTCAGGCAGCACCTCCATTTTAAGGCAATTGACATTCTTTCACACAGGCAGTTGGTAGCAGTGTTCTTCCCCTACCAAGACCCTCAAGCACAATGGGTGGGGTGGGTGAATCTATTTCTAAACAAAACTAAAGCACTCTTTGAGGTGAGCTCCCTCCTTCAGTACTTCTCATCTGCCTGCTCCAGTCTCAAATTATCAGGAGCAAAATGTTCTACACAATGCTCTGTAAACAGGGTTGTCTGCAATGAACATTGCCTCAAAACAGGATGCCATTCAAAGGAATTGTGGATGCTTTAACATGCCACATTCCTGAACCCCTCCTGGTTCGATGAAAGTCCAGGGAGCCATGTTTTTGGATCACCAAGTGTCAACATGGTCATACTCTTTTCAGACTTTGAAAATGCCATGTTTTTTTATTAAATGCAACTCGGTGACAGCTATGAGAAGTATGTGATTCAAGAGCAGTTTTCTTTACAGCCAATAACATGCAATCAGCACTCATCACAAAGTAGTTCAGACATGGAAATAATTCCACATTCACTTACACTGAGATATCATATGCGGAAACTGTTCTGAAATAATACTTCCAAGTTCTGATCTCCAAACAGCTTCCCAGTCAGTTTTTCTGAAATAATACTTCCAAGTTCTGATCTTCAAACAGCTTACCAGTCAGTTTTACAACAAAGTTTGTCCAGTGACACCTTTAAGACCAACAAAGTTTAATTTGGGTATAAGCTTTTGTGCACATGCATGCTTCTTTGGTTTTACAGAACATATTGAAACTGACTTCAGTTCTGATCTCCAGAAAGCACTTCTCCGTCTTCCCAGATGTCCACTAATAAAGTTTTAAATACGACTTGATCAAACGGACTCGTCTTTCTAATTTTTAACCCGCTATGCCCAAATATCCATAGGAGATACCCGTTTCAACAAATTTTAATATCTGGAATAATAATTGTACTGCCTTTATTTAAATATGTAACTTGCCATGCTTAGAATCTAGTTCCCATTTCCCTACCTCAAAATGTTATCCATGTGAGAAAAGGTGCCAAAAAAAAAGGCAACTAGAATTATCAAAGGGCGAAAACACCTTCACTGTGAGAAAAGGCTACAGCATATGGGGCTTTAACTGGCAAATTCAGGCAGGATAAACACTTCCATAAGTTGTGATTGTTAAAAGGTTTTAAAAGTGAATTAGGCAAAACCATGTAGGATAGGGCTATCAGTGTTATTAAAGAGAATCTCGGTGTCTACCAAATGCCTGCCATGCCTTGCTTGATATTTTTATAGAGGTATATATGTTGGACTAGACAGACAGCTGGCCTGATTTAGAAGAGATCTTCTTATATATTACTTACACTGATTACTTGGTGGCACTTAACAGCTGATGGCACTTTCTTCAGATACAATGAACAAATCATCTTGTTATGACTTTATGACAACAGTTCCCACTTTTAAAATCAGAAGTTTTTTAGTTTAATAGTCAGGGTGCTTTGAAAACTGGCACCATCTACTGGACATGTGGCTTTATGGCAATGGACACTGATCATGGCTGTTGCAAGATTTTACAAAGAGGAAGCTATGATTCCTCTAAAACAGTTTGAGACTTTTGCTAGCATGTTCTTGCATGTTGTGTGGTAACAAAGGAATATGAAACCAGAGATGAATGTGGCATCCTTAGTCTGTAATAATTAGGGGCTGTGAGAGACCTAAACCCAAAATTTTGGGTGATCAACGTAGAATAATCAACATTTCAAATTGAGTACCCTGCTCTTCCATATGCGTTTCCAACTAACATAGTTCTCCAAACACATGCAAAATCCTGATCTCCTACTGGCCTCCACAACCCCCCCTGGCAGAATACAGCCTTGCCTGAGGTTTTGCATCCATCTTATCCATTATCTCAACAACCTGTATAAACTATTTGTGACTTTTACTTGCAATGTATATGAATTTTATGATGTGTTTTGTATGCACTGAATTTGTTTATTGTATTTTAACTTTTAATGTAAGCTGCCCTGAGCCTGCTTTGGCGGGAAGGGTGGGATACAAATTGAATTAAATAAATAAATTTAAAAATACCCTGCTTTCCACATCTCCTGTCTCCACCCAATGCATCCCTCTCCTGATCCAGCATGCAGCAGCTGGATCAGCTCCCCTATGTAAATTCAGTGGTGCATTTAACAAAGGAAAACAGGACACCAAATACTGAACAGCTGGCAAGATTCACTCCCATTTCCCCAAAATCAATACTAAGGGACAAAAACTGCTTTTCAGAAGGTCCAGCCTCCTATAAAATCAGAACAGAGAGCACAACATTTGCACCTGTACATTACACCCAATTTTATTTATACAAAATGCCTTGAGTGAAAAACAATTTAAGGAAAAACTGCTGATCAGATTCCAAGCAAGTCAGTTCCTTTTCCTATCCAAAGGCAGGCCAGTTACTTAGCATTGTTTGCCCGCATTTTTTTCAGCCCTTTCTTGTTGTGTTTCTTCGCAAAGCGCATGTTCCTCAGAAACTTGGGATCAACCTTAAGAGGAAGGGAAAAAAAGAAATATCACTTGCTTGGCAACTTGCAAAGAACTTAAACTTGTAATCTGGTGCGTAACTAGGGGCAAATCCTCCCATTTTTATCTCGACAGTATTGAGATAGCTGAATGAAGTCTCCTAATATTTTAAGAAGAGCAGTCCCCCAACACAGATAAAATGGAGATTTAATACACACCCCTCCCGGTGTTCTTTACACAAATGAATAATCTTTGCCGACAGACCACTACAGCCTTGCCAAAAGGCAACAAAAGGTAGTCTATACAGACATACATTTAGCTATGTACTTAAAATATTTGTATCCTGCCTCAGCTCCTCAGACTCAAGCAAGGACTTACCTCCGAAGAAGCACATTAGAAATGCACTTACCCCCTTCAGTGATTCATATCTATGTGACCTGGGCTTCTTAATGCCATTTCTGTGCCATTTGCGAGCTGTGAGATTACACAATTATCACACTTACAATAAAGATGTCTAATAACGTATGTTTATATTTTCGTATAAGCTTTATCAGCCTCCATTAACAAAAAGTGAAACATGTATTGCTATATCACATTTGCACAGTGTTCATCCAACAAGTGAGCTAGGTAGCACAGTGGCCAAAGATTGGGCTAGAAGTAGCACATTTTTGTTTCAACTGACATTTCTGTCATGATTTTACTAGACGGCTGTACGCAAGCCATGTTCTCTCAGTCTCTCTTCCCCATGGCCAAGATAATGTCAGTTGAAGCACTCTGAACATTTAAATGCAATACTAGTACTGTTCTTGAGGGAAAGAAACACGTCTTCTCTGAACATTAGCCAAGAAATTACATACAGGATTGCTAACATATTGGCAGCTTCTGTCGCCAACCCTACCTGTACGATCTAGAGAAGGATTAAATATACTGTTGAGCTGCAACCAATTCACAGTGAACTAATGGTCGGCTGCATGGGCCTTCCTCTGCACAGCAACCTGACTCCTCCTTGGAGGTCTCCCATCCAAGTACTAACAGCAACTGACCCTGCTTAGCTTCCAAGCTCTGATGAGATCAGGCTAGGCTATTAGGGCTGCTACCATCTAGACGGCAGACCTCAACGTCAGGGGTACATACCTGCTCGTACTTATGGTAAGGGCTGTAGTATAAATCTATACAGCGTATTTTCTCCAATCCCTTCTGCCATTCTCGGTAAGATCCACATAGAATTTATGCCTGTCATAGCGTACACTCTGCATCCTTAAAAGCATTCTCTGCTGTGGCCCCCACCTTATAGCATGGCCTGCCTGCTGAAGTCAGGAAGGTTCACACTCATCCAGCATTCAGCAAACTATGCAAAACTGAATTCTTTAGTAAGGCATTTTTACACACGTAATTGGGATATACTACAATGGAATGGTTCAGAAAGATGCTTTGATAAAGGGAAAGGGACTATACCACTGTATACAGTGTGTACTATGCATTGCTGTATGTATTATCCTATGTAATTTCTGCAATGTTTAATGTGTCATGATAATATTCTTTGTTACAGCTTTCTGCAAGTCTAGTCCTATTACATTGCTTACTGGGTGTACCATTCCATTGACTGAATTGATTTACACAGTGTAATCCACTCTCAGTCTCAGTGAGAAAAGGTGGACTATAAATAATGTTAATAAATAAATATTTCAAGTTAACTACCAACAGTATCTTCCCAACATGGGGAAATGTTTGTCCAGTATTGCTAAAGATTACATCCATGACAGCTTTTAAATAAGGGTTATCTAGAGGCTACATGCTATATTTTTAATCATGACAAATAACACTAAAATGTCACTGTTTATCCCCAATGACTTCAATGAGAATTCAGGCTAAATATAGATTATATTAATAGTTTTGTGGAACGTTTCAAACCTCAATTTTAGAGAAGATTTACAGTGAAATCCTGAACAGAGTTACACCATTCTAAGCCCACTGGCTTTAATGGGACTTAAAAAGGTGTTATTTTGCTTAGAATTGCACTGCTAGATGCCCATTGTTTTGCCATTGTTACTAAGCGTCTCTATGAATTTTAGCTTGCCATTTACAATCATGAACTACAGTTCTGTCAACACATCTTTTGGTTCATATCTCTATACAATTGCCCTTACTGAACATTTGAACATCCTTGCATATTTAAGTCACATTATGACTATCAGAGGAGATGCCAGTAATTAAGTTTAATTATATCCCTTATGAAAAAGGAATTATTGACCACAATGCCTCTTATTGCCTGCACAAACTTACACTGGTTGTGAGTGGTGTGGTTCTTGGACTTGGCCATTGCTTACACCTGTTGAGAGAAGTAAATATCAGAAGCATTCCTATCACACATACAAAACAATCATAGCTGTCCCTTCCGAGTTCTGAAAATTGAAGTCCTTTCTTGTCTTTCTAAGGCTTAACTGCACATTCTATTGGAAATTCATAATCAGATCTTTTCAGTTTTATTGTGAAAAAGCAACTGTCGCAGTATGGGTTGGATCAGGGCTGAGGTGGAGGAGTATGTTTAAAGCCCCCCCCCTCCAATTTTCCTCACAGCAACAGGGGAGCAGGGACCATTATTATTAACTCAACTAAAGCCAGGCACTCACACAGTGCTAGTCCTTTTTCTCTTATCTGCTGGGGCTTTTATCAGAAAAAAACTGCATGGAAGAAGTAAAACCCCCTTCCCTAATTTAAAGAGTAGGTTCCGCAGGCAACGTTTAAAAACATTAACACCATCATCATCTCAAACTCCCTTTTAAGAACATAAAGTGCTGCTGGATCAGGCCAAAAAGGTCCATCTAGACCAGCATTCTGTATCCATTAGGTGGATCCTCAAGATTCCCAGCACAGGTCCTGACCACGCAACATGTGGAACTGCTGTTTATCACAGCTAGTAGCTGTCGGCAGCCTTATGCTCCAGGAAGCCCGGTCACTGTAAACCATTTATGCTGAGGGTAGCCGCCACTTTTCACTGTCGTGACTGACACACAAATTCCCCCACATGCTGATCTAACATTACAAATCTACCAGACTGTAAGCTCCAAAACTGCATCAACAGAATTCGCAAACACAAGCTATAACGCTGACGGCTTCCTAAAGTGGCTCAAGCAAATCGAGCGGAGAGTGATGCCCCTAAATCCCCACGATCCGGCTACCCATCATTCCGTCTGCCATCCCATCTCTTTTTCTGATCCCCCCCTCCCTTGTCAGAGACGTCTCTTCCATCCACCCCTTCTCCCCCGCCCCGAGAACAGGACACAGCCGCTGAGGACCGCATCCCACCTCTCCTCAGCTGCTCGCCTGCCACAGCCCGACCGCCCCCGGGAAGGATGCCGCTGGATTAGGAAGGGAAACTCGCACCTCCGCCTCAACCGCCACTCGGACTACAACCGGAAGAGAAGGAAGACTCGTGAGGCACTCTGGGAAGTAAAAAAAACCACCTCCGCCATAGAGCACAGAAGCGACAGAATGAACGGCCAGGAAGAGCTGGGGTATTTCGTGTCCGGCTGGAAACACGAATCGTCGTTAGAAACGTTCCGCTGAAAGGAAGAAAGAAAAACTCCCGTGTTTTAGGATGAGGGAGAGGGTAGCCTAGGCTATTTCTACGTTGTTTCTCTGTGTGTCCAGTCTAAATCTAATTCTTCCAAACCTCTTCTGCCAGCTCACGGGAGTCTTTTTGTTGTTTATTTTAAAGCAAATTTCTTGTAGCTAATGTGGCCAATTTCTGAGATCACAGGACGTTCCTCAGAGAGACTCTTGCTGGTTTCTTCTTTTTCTTCTCCTTCTCTACCACCACGCCATTTCGTACAGCAGTAATATAATGGGTAGTACAGAAAGGTCTATACAGGCATAATACAACCACCACATCCACTATTGTCAGCTAGTTTTTAAAATCATAGTATTTGTTCTAAAGTACACTGAATCTGAATGTTTTAAAACACAGCTGAGTCAGATTTGCAAGCTTTCTTCCATCACCAGGAAAATAAAATAAAACAAACTTTGTGCAAATTTCATTTCAGAAGTTAAGGTTTTAGGGAAGCTGTCCAGCACTGCAGATGTTTTGCAAAACAGTGACAACAAATTTTATGGGAAAGATCCCCTTATCGTGTGTGTATTTTCCAAGTTGAGTATGTGCATAACTATGTGTTGAGGCTGTGGTGTTTTTAGCCTCACTATGGGAAAGATCCCCTTATCGTGTGTGTTTTCCAAGTTGAGTATGTTGAGGCTGTGGTGTTTTTAGCCTCTCAATAAAGCTGTAGTAATTAGTGACTTTCCCAGCATCCCACTAAAGAGTTACTAACTTTGCAAATTTTCATGTCATGCTTATCGGAATTGTGAAGCATATTGTATTTTTCAAGCTAGTCACTTCAGACAGCATCACACCTGGTGTGGCGTTATGTAATGGCTAGAGAGTTGGGTTTGGAGGTGGGCAACGCATATCTCTGAACAGCTGTGAAGTTCACTATGTAAACTGTCACTTGAATTAACTATTTGATCACTGGAAATCAAGGGTTATACCTTATTGCACGTATTATATGTGATGATTTCTAATATTTTGTTCTGTGTTACAAATTGGGGTATTGATTTCATAATAGTTTTCCTGACTTATTTATTTATTCCTGTTCACATTTTATACACTGACAGACTGAGCTGCTCATCAGCAAGCTCTCAATATGAATCTCTTCTCTGAGGAACTCACAAGATGGCCTTAGGACAAGCAAGACTCTCTCAGCTTCAGTTGTACAGTGGTAATAAGACAGAACCTTCCTTACAATATTACAAGAGAAAAGCTTTAAATGCTCGACAGTGTTATATGAATGCTGAGTACAACATTATTAGGATCTTCTCAAACATTTATGTATTATGTTACTTCATAAAATCTTGTCATTACGTTGTTCTCTTTCTCTCTTTCTGGTCATTACCATTGCTCTCTGATCTCTTTTTTCCAAACAAGTATTATAGAGCTGGTGGGAGGGTAGAAGAAGCATGGCAGCTAAGAAAAGAGTCTGATCATGCTGGGATGATCCATATCTGCCAGGATGGCCAGGACTGCTGCAACTGACTTTCAGCGCTAAAAGGCCTGGCAGGCCCTGGTGTAGCTATGTATGTGTATGTCTATGGGAGAGGCCCAAGCCAGCCCCCCAGCACCATGCCCCATGTCACGCAATGGGCTCTACTCCCAGGGGAATGGCACCCAAGAGAGCTGCTGCTGATGGACAGGGGGCAGGGATGTTTGCAGCTCCATACCAGGCTTTTGGCACACTCCCTTGCCAGGGCACTCCTTCCCTTCAGGTGGGTGACAGAACACAACTGTGGTTAGGGGCTCCTGGCAGCTGCCCCATTGTACTCTCTGGATCACCTAGCTAAGCACCCATGGGTTGCATTGTCTTGCAGGATCTCCCTCGAGGGTGTTTCTTGGCAGTGCCCCCCCATAGGGGTAGAACTGCAGACCTGCCAGGGCCCTACAGGCATGGCTGTGGCTGGCAAGGCATCTGTGCTGTTAGAAATTGCTGCACATGTTTCTGTCTAGCATCTGTGCAGATGGTGATTCAACAGGGAGACCTGGTAGCATGACCAGTGCAGTTCCTGCTACTCTGTTCAGTCACCAGTTCCAACCCAATTCCTGGAGCATCCTGCCTCAGGAAGCTTTCTAACCTGCAGGTCTGTCTCACTCATGCATGCTGTGCTAGGGATGGCTCAGCCTGTCCCCCCCCCCCACTCCTGGGAGCAACCTGCAAGGGCACAGTTGCTATACTGGACAGAGGGAGTTGGCAACCCAATTCATTGGACCTCTTCACAATTGCAGTTCAGTAAAGTCAGAGTATTCTACAACTGTGTCCCTGTCTCTGTGTTACTGGGTGGATGAGACCAGCTCCATGTCCCTCCCTGTCTTACCTCTTCTCCCCATCTGTGATTTCCCCTTAGAACTGCACTTTCAGGTATCCCAGACAGAGTGGGCTCTGACTCAGGGATGCCAATCCTGGGATCACTATTGTTGATCTTTCTGGAGACACTGGACTTTTGTTCAGTTGCAAAACATAGCAGCGGTCCAGTGGCACCCACATAGTAGTCCTCACCAATGTTCCCTCTAAGCTGCGGAGTCTTGTGAGTAAAAACTTTACTTTGTGAGCTACTGCCATTAAAGTTGTGAGCAAGCAATTTGGCTACTGCATAAATTAGTTTGCTTTGGAGCCATTTTTCCTGAGCTAAGACAAAAATGTGTGAGCCGGAGGCCAAAAACCTGTGAGCTAGCTCATAATAACTCAGCTTAGAGGGAACCCTGGTCCTCACCCCCGTTCCTACAAACATCACTGGCTGCTGTGTGTAGCTTGCATAGGGAATGGCTGGTGGGTAGTCTGAAGGTATGTATGGCTGCTCTGGTGTATGGGGAGGGGGCAGTCACTTCTGGCATCCGATAAGCTGTACAGCTTGGGGGTGCAGGTGAAGGGGACCTAAGGTAATTGCTGCCATGAGTGCTGCAGGGACAGGGATATGGAGAGGCATCCGTCCCAAAATGATGGATTTCCAGGGTGGCCCATAGACTAGGCTGTCCTGTTCCCCTTCTTGCAGTTTGCAGGAAAAAAACATCAGCTCCACCTAAATATTCCACCCATGACCCACAGCCCTATGCACACTAAGTGGGGAAGCATCATTTGGTTTTTCCATCTCAGGCACCAACATCTCTGACACCATTTCTAATGCCAGGTGTTTCAGAGGTAGCCATGCCAGATTCGAGTCCAGGAGCAACTGAGAGACCAACATTTCTAAATTCAGTTATCTGAATATAGTCACGCATACGCATTATTTATTTTTATACACGTTTTTAAAAATTAACCTCTTGATTTATGACATGAAGCCATCAAGGGACCTTAAACACAGAATATAAAACTACAAAGATAATAGAATAGTAAACAATAAAACCAGACAAATAAATAATACAGCTAGCAGGAATAAAACCATAATTTAAGAGGTGCCCTGCTGGATCAGTCTGGTGGTCCTTCTTGTCCAGTGGCCTGATTCACACAGTGGCCAACCAATTCCCCTGGCAATCATCCACGAAGATGACCAAAGCTGTTTCAGTTCTAGAACCAGATCAGAAGCTAGATGGCAATAGATCTAGCAAATCAGTATCATCCTGGAGTTTTGCTGGATTTAGGTAGTTACGAGAATGTACCTGTTGGTTTTTGATAGGACACTTCCATGCAATGTATTTTTCATTAAAAGGTTTATTTATTTTTTAAAAATTATATCCTGCTTTTCTGCCCCCACAAGGGCTAACAAGGTGGCTAACACTTGAAAACATACATGATAAACTACTTTATAAAACCATTAAAATCAGCCCGTCTCCCAAACACCTCATTAAAACAACTTTTAAAAGAGTTAAAAAAACAGAGTTAAAATACATAAAAATCTGTTAAAATACATACAAAACATAAAAGATTGGTTAGGAAGGAGGGATCATTGAAGGAATGCAAAACTACGTGAAGAAGAAGAAGAGGAGGAGGAGGTTGGATTTATCCTCCGCCCTTCACTGCCCGAAGGAGTCTCAGAGCGGCTTACAAACTCCTTTCCTTTCCTCTTCCCACAACAAACACCCTGTGAGGTAGGTGGGGCTGAGAGAGCTCTTTTGAGAACTGCTCTTTCCAGAACAGCTCTGAGAGAGCTGCATGTGGAGAAATGGGGAATCAAACCCGGTTCTTCTAACCACTACACCAAACTGGCTCTTTAAACATTGGCAGAAGACATCAACAGAAGGGGGGGGGGAGAGTTCTAGAGCTTTGGTGCCATGACTGAGAAGGCCTTCTTCCAGGTTGCCAACCACCTAATCTCAGAAGGCGGGAGGCGCCCAAAGTAGGGCCTTCAAGGATATGACTGCGATGGTTGGGTAGTTCATAAGGAATTACCAAGTACTTCAGGTATGTTGGCCCAAAACCATATAGAGCTTTATATATATATAAAATTTTTATTTTTCAAAAGTAAAAGGTAA